TTTATGTCAGACCAAAATCTTTGAGTCACAGGGACTGAAAATATTGAATGACCTTAAAATGAGTTTCTTTAACTTCTAGGGAAACAGGCCACTAAATAAATTTAGATTATGCTTTATCCATAACAGATAAGGTCATTGACTCTGTCACCTGAGTATGTAAGCCTCTGTAATAATCATGAAACAGCTCAGATTTCAAGACTGCATTAATAAACTTACTACATTTGTTATCATGCACGTTACACTCAATAACTGAATTTGGTAATACTGCCTTGACATTTGCATACATTAAGGCATTTTTAATTAGCTGCTTCTTCTTCTTCCTCTTGTTGTTGTTGTCGTCGTCATCGTCGTCATCCTCCTCCTCCTCTTCTTCCTCTAATGAGGCTCTGGCAGGCTGTAGCCTACACTACGTATTAAAGTGAATTGCTGCCCTCCACAGGCAAGAGTTTACTATTCACCATATAAAATCCAGAAGCATGGAGAAATTTCAGGACTGCTCTACAAATAAGTAGAAACTCCACTTCAGCCACAAACATAGATTTGAAGGAGAAAGCAAGTAAACCCAGATCTGACAGATCCCTAAACAACTGTCGCCTTTCATTCCTGTATTTGTTACAGCAGAACACAACGTGTTGGACTGTTTTCAATTCTCCACACTCATGGGTGCAGATCCCGGGGGGGATGGAGGGGGCATGTCCCCCCCAAATTCTGAAAAACACAAATTGTCCCCCCTAATTCTAAATAGCCTAAATGATTGAAATTGAACAAATGTATACAGTAGTCCTATATACTGGGAGAAAGGGAAGATGATGAGGAGAAATGGGAATCCGTGAGAGGCGAGAGATGAGAACGTGAGTGGACATAACATGCCTGAGACCCTGAAACTAGAAGTAGCATTAACAGCGAAGCAGGGAAAAGGAGGGTGATGGCTGGTTTCATGTACTACTGGCTGTCTATGCCTGCGCATAGACAGATGCATTAATTACCTCCGCCAAGATGGTTATGTTTTTGCTGGTGTTGGTCTGTTTGTCTGCAAAATAACTCGAAAACTTTTGAACGGATTTTGATGAATTTTTCAGGAAAGGTTGATAATGGGACAAGGAACAGATGATGAAATTTTGGTGGTGATTGGTTGAAGTGAAATGGATAAAATAATAAAATGGCGGGAAATCCGAGCTGCTTGGCGGAGGTCTGCGCTCTCTGAGTGCTCTAGTTCATTGTGTAGTTTTACATGTTTGACATGTATGTTATTATACTGTGGTTCTGACAGAAGCATCTGTACAGGTTTTGTAACCTGGATTTGAGTGTAGCTTTTCAGTAAATATGTTGAAAAAAAACTTTAATATGACATATTTATGTTTCTTTATTTCTTCACTCTTCCCTCATCATTCACATTAATCAGGTCCACCTGAGCATTTAAAACAAACACTTCCCTCTGCTCCGTAGCTTTCCCCTCTTCCAAATGGACCAATATTGCATGCACAGCCTTTTAAACTATTGCTTTTATAAAACGCGTGCGAATTAGAAAGCGTGCGTGCATTTTTAAAAAAATTACATTTGCATGTCACCTCCCGGTCTCCGTACTCACACATGGAAAAATTATTATTTTTACTTTTTTTAAGTTAATTGCTCTTGGGGCCCCCCTAGTGGTCACGGGGCCCTAAGCAGGTGCTTAGTTCGCTTATGCCTTGGGCCGGCTCTGATTTTATACTTATGTTGTGTCCACACACAATTCGCGTGGGTGAATTACATGTAAAGTCAACGTAAAGACGTGATTAGATGAGAATTCCCGAGTGCCGCGATGGACGCAATGGACACGATGCAAATGACATGAGATATGTGAATTAAGTGGTGTGAATGAAGCAAGTAGCACGAATTCTCGTCATATGCATATTCACGAGTTGAAAAATCTGAACTTCAGCGACTAATTCACACTGCGATAGCCAATGAGCACTGAGCTCCTCTGGGGATATATAATGCCGAGGAGGCACTGGCAGAAGTTTATTAGTCGATTTAGCAATTTCACATGCAGGTGACACGTCAACACAAAACATTCTAGTGTTCAAACTCTCACAAGTAACAGGACATGAAAATTCGCATCACGTTTGGTGTGAACACAACATTATATAGAAAAAGCATATTCTTAAAAATTAAAGAAAAAAATAGAACCTTGACGCAGATTGGTTTGCCTTTTTGATGACATATACAGCAAATGGCACAGTTTTTAAATCATTAATATTCTTTTTGTCATCATTCATCTTTAAACACGGGTATATTATCAAGGTGGCAATCCGAATCACTTGCAAGGGCCCACTTTCTCTAATGGCCCCTACACCCCAAGGGCCCCAGTGCAATTGCACTGCCTGTGTGGTGGAGAAAAGGCCTAGGAATGTGAGACAGTTAAGGTCAGATTAGAAGCAGAATATGTATTTAGACTGAACAACCTTCAATGGGGCTAGATATTTAGAGCAGAATGTTCCAAAACAATTCACACACACACACACACACACACACACACACACACACACAGAAAGTTCGGTATGATGTCTAAAGAGGAGTTTAAGAATGTTTGGGGGGCTGTCTTGTTGCGGTGTGTGAAGTTGTAAGCTGTGCTTACAATAAAATACTTGCTAAAGGCTGTGAACAGACCTCATGTCATCAAGTCATTTTCATAATATAGAGTCATAATATTTAGATCATTACAAGGCAAACCATATTAAAAAAAGCCCCAAAAGCAGTGCTTAATTTGAGCCGGAACGGATAGTTGGATAAATCTCATTTAAAATTTTGAAGTTCACCTCTTTTACCTAAGTAGAAACTAAATATATCTTTTTCTTAATTTTTTAACCTCTTCAACATCGAATTCTTTACAAACATACTTTCTTCTTACAGGGTAGGGAAACATGCCGTTAATAAAAATTCTCTAATAATTCTGTTATTACATTTATTGTCACAGACATCAAGTACTTTGATGCAACGCTGTCTCAGCCCAGGAAAGACCTGAGTACAGAATGTCTTCTTTAACCAGTGATCTCAGAGAGAGTAGTATGGCTTTTATCAGTCTATAATAGTTTTTAACAGAACACTGGAGTTGGAATTTCTCACAAAACTCCTCATGCTGTAACACATTTCCATTTTCATCCATAAAATGAGCAACAGCCCAAATCCCTTTGGAACTCCACTCCTCTAAATACACAGATTTTCTACTGAGAAATATGTATTTGTTGTTCCAAACTGGAATGTTATGTGGTGTGAAATTATGTTTAGGCTGAATTTATGGTTTAATTGTTTATGAATTTCCTCCTTCTGTAAGCATTCTTGCCATAGATAAAAAAAGAAAAAAAGAAATACCCTGACTAATGATACAATTCTTTAATTCTGAAGATGGTACATATCCAGTTGAGGAGAAAAGACAGTTTTGTCATATTACAAAAAGGAATGACATTTGCTTTTTTAGTAAGCTGACCCCAAATTTCTTTTTGGACCTTTGGGTGATTGGGGCAGCACATCTTTTCACTGATGAAGGCCAGTGTAAGCATATGTATTGCACAGTTAATGACATACTTTGATATAATTTCACATGCACAGATTTCTTTTACGTTCATGGTTATGAATTAAAACTCCATGTACATTTTTGTTAAACTTTATTGCTGAAGTCTGTCCACAGTTCATACAATATAAAACTGTCTTTCCTCACTGTCGCAACAACCCTCTCCCTCCCACATCCTCCCTTAATTCTCTCCCACCAAATTTCATTGAACACATTGAATTGATTTAAAAAAAAAATCCTAAATAAATTGAATAGCCTACATTTAATTCGGTTGAACAAAAATTAGTTAAAAACATGAACACATTTATCTGAGGCTAAAAAAATGCTAATTAGGATTAGTTTGGGTTGGGTTAAGTGTTGGGTTTGGCTTGGATAGTGTACTAGTGTAAACTTGATGCTGCAAAAAACACCTAGCAAAATCCAGTTAGTCCATATTTTATGGTTGATAAGGGGTCCGCACACATGAAGAGGTTGGGAACCATTAATCTAGCATACAGGGCATACACAATGGCTCTCTATTGCAAGGCTGATCAGTTTCTGTCCCGTCCCAATCACCCCAAAACCATGTGTTTGGGTGAATGACAGTTTTATGACCATATGAAGAAAACTTGCCAAAGCTTTTGTGTAGCCTGTTTGAATATTGTCTTGCCCCAATCACCTATGTGATGTCACACGTATGAGGGCATACAGTTTTGATTATGTAGTTTCAGAGCAACGGCTCAAAAAAAAAAAAAATCACTCATCAGGTGAGAAAATAAACCCTGTACAGTTATACTATCCCATTCGACCTTATGTAGCAGTCACCCTTAATTCACCCTATACCCTATTCCATTACCCTGTTGAACACAGGCCGGTAATGTATGTATGTATGTATGTATGTATGTATGCACTTAGGTATGCACTTTATGATTGTATGTCTGTATGGAGTATGTGGGTATGGACTTTAGGTATGCACTTTATGACCGCACTTTATGTCTTTATGTCTGCACTGTTAGCACTTGTGTTTCTTGTTTATGTTATGTGTTATGTCCTAGGTAGCAGCCTGTTCATGTCCAACACAAATTTCCTTCGGGACTAAATAAATGAATCTTGAATCTTGAATCTTGAATCTATACATTAATTTCCAATAGAGAAGGATCTGCTGATAGAAGATAGACTGACTATTCTTAATAAAAGATTTTGACCATTTCAACTTCAGGACACCGTTCATGATATACCTGCTTCTTATTTGACTCTCAGATTATTGTTGTACGGATAGACACTTGGTAGATCATTGCTGTCTCGTTTCTGACAACAGCAGCGCCGGCACTCAAGGTGGCAGTAATTTCCCACTGTACCCGTGTGTCGACAAAGAAGAGGAGGAAAACCGTAAACTGTCTGTTTACTTAGCTTTACGTCCACCGACAGCTGGTTGTCGGTAAGGGGGGGGGCAGGGGCAACCATTCTCGGTCAAGCTAGTGAGAGTTTGACAAACAGAAAAGCGACAGTGCCTTCAGAATAAACGCACCGCCGCTGCTCGGAGGACATTTTCAACGAGTTTTCCGCCAATGAGCCATTTACTTTGAATGTAGCGACCGGGGCTTGTATGTGTAACTGGAAAGTTTGACCCTGTTTGAGCCACAGTGAATAGATCCATAACGCTTGGCTGAATATTAGACAGAAACGTAAGCTAACGCTACATGTTCGGGATACTTAAAACACAGGAGGAACCGTGCAGTTAAATATATGGATCCCAACCGGATAATCCAGGCTCTGAAAGGGACAATCGACCCTAACCTGAGGATAGCGGCGGAGAATGAACTCAATCAGGTGGGCGAACACAAGTAGTTGCTTTTTGTTTGTGTTTGTTCACAGGGGCTTTGCGTTAGAGAGCCATCTCGGAGCCGTTTCTGGCCCAGAGACGATGCTGATGTTTGTGGTGGATGAGAGGCCGTGTTTTGGTGACCGAGCTCGGCGTCGGCCTTTTGGTTGTTGTGTGGGATAGTGGTAAGGGAGTTTATATCAGGCCTCTGATCAGCAGCTTGGCTAAACTGTTCCTCGCACTGACCCAGGCAGCTGCGTGGAAGAACAAAAGGAGTCAGGTCTGACAGCCATCACGAACCATCGGGATTATGGCGGCTGTCCAAACTTTCTCTTGTCAACAGAGTTCACACCAACTCTTATACTTCACAGTGCTGGCGTTGCAGTGAAGTTATGTACCCACACAAATTCTCTGAATGACCTAAATAAAGTTACCACAGCGCCAAAATAACTAATGAATGAAAATTAAATTATCTTAACGTTTTTAAAGGGGAACTATAGCCATTTTCAAAATGAATACGCGTTATTTATATGGTCTAAGACAGCCCTAAAACATAACTAAACATGAACGACTCTCTCCCAAATCCAGAACCTGGAGAGCTAAAACTCAACTCTGTGATGTCATATCCGTATTGATAATCTGGCAGACACCAGAGCCAAGGATTTCCTAGAATTATTGGGATGTATGGATTTTAAACAGCATATTAATTTACCCACTCACAAACATGGACACACAATAGATTTAGTTATATGGTCTGAACAGCAACATATTGTCTGTTACTGATTTGGCTCTCTCTGACCACCATTGTTTATTTTTTGATAGTCTTGTCCACTCTCTACAAAACACCACAGAACGCATTATTAAAAAGCGATATATAACCCCAGAGGTAGCCACAACTGTCACATCACATATTGCAGCTCACAATAGTACAGTTCTGCCATCATCCTGTGAAGATTTAGTGAATGATTTTAACCACAAAATGAAAACAGCGCTTGATGCAATTGCTCCTATTAAAGCCAAGAAAATAACTACAAAAAACGTAGTTCCATGGAAAAATAATCACACCATGAAACTAAAAAGAGAATGCAGAGCTTCAGAGTGCAGATGGCAGAAAAAAAAACTAGAAGTCCACTACGATATACTCACTGAAAACCTTAAAATCTACAACAAAGAAATTTGAAAGTCTTGACAAGCATACTTTTCTAACTTGATTAACACAAATATTCATAATCCCAGACTGCTTTTTAGTACAGTAGATTCCCTGCTAAATCCTACAACAAATTATAGCAATGAGCTTCCAGCCTCTAGATGTGAAGAGTTTTCCGGCTACTTCAGGGAGAAAATAATTAATATTAGGTCTAGTATCTGTAAGCAAGACAAGCACACTGGGTTTTTTTTTTTTTTTTTTTTTTTTTTTTTACCAATATCCTGTATACAATGCGATGTGAGGTATGAATGTTTTGACCTGGCTGATGGTGACACTCTGAGGAAAGTAGTAACAAAACTGAAATCCTCCACATGTTCCCTTGATCCCATTCCAACCTCCCTAAACAATTTTTAATTCAGTATTTAATTCAGACATACTAAAACTGCTTTAGTTAAACCTCTTTTAAAGAAAGGGAATCTGGACATTTTATCACCCAGCAGTTAGGCCTGTAGACCAATTTCAAACCTTCCTTTTATAAGTAAAATTTTAGAGAAACTAGTTTTTATACAGCTAAGTGCCTTTTTAAATTCAAACACAGCATTTTAGGACTGTTACTTTTTAATTTGTACATGCTACTCCTAGGCAGTGTCATCAGGAGACATGGCATCTCTTTGGCATCTTTCACCACAGTTATGCTGATTTATGTGGCCGTGTCTCCTGATGACACTGGACCAATTGACTCACTTTTTAACTGCATTTTAGATATTAAGGCCTGGATGTCACAGAATTTTTTACAGCTTAACCAGGACAAGACAGAAGTACTGATCACTGGTTCAAAGGTTCAGAGAGAGAAACTGGCCTCTAAACTAAATACATTTGGTCTAAAACCAGGTCAAGGGGCAAGAAATCTAGGAGTGACATTTGACGCTAATTAATTTTAAGCCACATATACACTATGTCACAAAAACAGCATTTTATCATTTAAAAAACATTTCCAAAGTGAGGCCATTTCTTTCTCTGACCAACACAGAGAAACAAATACACGTTTTTATAACTAGCAGGCTAGACTACTGTAATGCTTTCCTTTCTGGTCTACCCAAGAATACAATTAATCAGCTGCAACTGATTCAAAACTCTGCAGCACGAGTTCTCACTCAGACCAGAAGGAGGGCACACATTACACCTATTTTAAAATCCCTGCACTGGCTGCCTGTTAGTTTTCGTATTGATTTTAAAGTTCTTTTATTAGTTTTTAAGGCACTGCATTGGCTTGCACCAGACTATATCTCAGAGATGCTTTTATTTTATGAACCAGGAAGGCCCCTCAGATCCTCTGGCTCCTCTCTTTTTACTGTCCCACAGAGTAGAACAAAAACATTTGGTGATGCTGCTTTCAGCCACTATGCTCCAAAACTGTGGAACAATCTGCCGGAGGATCTGAGAGGAGTCAGAAACATTGACACGTTTAAACGTAGGCTAAAAACCCATCTCTTTAGTCGGCTTTTATGTAGTGTCCTACGTTAATTCAATTCAATTTTATTTATAAAGCCCAATATCACAAATCACAATTTGCCTCACAGTGCTTTACAGCATACGACATCCCTCTGTCCTTAGGACCCTTGCAGTTAGTTCTATTGTTTTATAATTATTAGGGTCCGGGCAGCTAAGCTGCCAGGACACTATTGTAATCCTAGGTATTCTTCTTCTTTTTCTTCTTCTTCTTCTTTCTTCTTCCGAGGAAATCATACTTCCCATGGGTGAAAACTCACCAAACTTTGCACAAAGGTCCAGTCTCATGCCAGATTATCCACAGCTGTAAACTCAAGCCAATAGTCCTGATGATGGCGCTACAGCAAGCATCTAAAGTTTAAAACTTTGAAAATTCATAACAAATCAACCATACGTGCTACAACTTCACAACTTTCATCAAACTGTAGCCCCAATACTGAAGAAACTTTTACATTTAAACCTATTTTCAAAAACTGTAAAACTTCTTAAACCTATCTCCTCCCACAATTTTTGCTCAATTGACACCAAACTTGCTACAGAGCATCTTCAGACTCTCCTACAAAAACTATGTTTCTCAGATTTTTGATTTATCAAAAATTGAGCCTACAGCGCATCAAAATGTTTGACTGTAAACGGTACTGTAAACATATACATGTAAATTCTTGCTAAATAAATCTTCAATGTTAATGAAAAAAATGACAGTCATGGTAGATGATGTGTGGCAAATTTCAGAATTGTATCTCAAAAACTGAATTTTTGACAGCATTTTGAATTTTGCTCTAATGTGAACAATTGGAGTCAATGTAAAAATGGCAATTTTGAACATCAGTTTTTCACTTATGGAGCAAATCAATCATTGTTACAAACAAATTACCAACATCTCCATGCTGCCTAGATGCAATATGTGTATTTTCAGATTTTTGTCTTAATAACTGAATTTTTTTACAGTGGTTTCAAATCTGCCTTTCCATGCACAGATGGCTGCTTTCCTACACAACAGTGAATGGCTTACTCAGTTTTGTGAAGCCACTGTTGAGTTGCTACTTGCCAATTAGCTCAGAACGGTAGATGACCGTCTTAGGTTCCAGAGGTTGCGTGTTCGAGCCTCAACTGGTGCAGAATCCACATTGTAATGTAAACATCTTAATCATCCTGTGCTCCAGTTAATTGCTTAGAATTGCCTGAGCCTGACTCATTGATGTTCAGCAAGTCTTCTTCCTGCTAGAAAATCTGCCTTCTCATGCTTGAAAATAAACCAAACTTTGCACAAAGATCCAGTGTCAATACTTCAGTGTGAAACCATCTGAGGCTTCTCATTTTGCACATAGCTCAACTAGTTAAACATCAGTTTTTCACTTATGGAGCAAATCAATCATTGTTAAAATAAATTACCAACATCTCCATGCTGTCTAGATGCAATATGTGTATTTTCAGATTTTTGTTTCGATAACTGAATTTATTACAGTGGTTTGAAATCTGCTTTTCCATGCATGGACGGCTGCTCAACCTGCACGTCTGGCTTAGTCAATTTGTGAAGCTGCACATGAATTGTCACTGGCTAATTAGCTCAGTGAGATAGAAATTGATTCTTAGTCTCAGAGGTTCTGAGTTCAAGCCTCAGCTGATGCAAAAGGCAGATTGTGTTGCTAAATTCCTAAATGTCTTCCAATTCTTCTGCTTGTTGCTCAGAATTGCCTAAAAATGCCCGGACCCGACCCATCGCTGCGCAGCAGTTATAATTTTATTTATTACTTTTTAATCTGTATTTGTCTTATTGCTATTTCCCTGATTGTTTTCATATCTTATTTTATTCTATATTTCATCCTGCATTTCTGCATGTCTTATCTGTTTTTATTTTTATTGCTGTTCTCCTGACTTTGATTTTATATTTTATCCTGCATTTTATTTTAAATATTTTAATATATATATATATATGTATATATATATTAGTAGCAGCACAGTAGTTTTGATCTTGTTTTTATCTTCTATTATTGTTTTAAATTATTATTGTATGTGTGTGCATTAGTTTCCCAGTCCTTTTTCTGATTTTGCTTTTTTATTCTCCGTATTTTTCAGTCAAAATGTAAAGCACTTAAATGACATTGATTTGTTTTGAAAGGTGCTATATTAATAAAATTTGATTGATTGATTGATTGATTGATTGATAGGGCAGGCATGTCCAAAGTCCAGCCCCTTGGGGGCAGTTGTGGCCCTCTGACCAATTAGTCACAGTCCCCAGCTTGTCTTTAAAAATCTGCTATAGACCAATTTGGAGTAGACGTCATAGTTCTGTCATAGCAGTTGCGTGTGCATCATGGTGGCAGAAAAACAGCGAACACCGGAGAGAAGCAG